GGGAAGGGGGCTGCGGGGGGAGAGGGCGGTGGGAGCGGACCGGAGCATCGCCACGGCGGGCGGGGGCCGCGCAGGCAGGGTTTGGGCGTTGTTTTGGAAGTGCCTTGGGCTGCGTGGCCTGGTGAGGGAGTCCTTGTTACTCGCTTCTTACTGACGGGGGGGGGGAATACACACGCACAGGGTGTCTGGCGCTATAAATGTAACCCAGCGTTAGTGTGCAGAGCGTGCATAGGCTGTGGGGTGAGGCAAGATCTGCATTCGTTCTGGGTGAAATTCGGAACTGGATTTTGTATACTACCAGCTCATCAAAATGTTACACTTGGCAGGTCTGTCCTGCAGCAGCTGCTGCGTGGAGTTTCAGAGAAACAACAAAGAAATCTTTTAAGCACCTACACATCACGTTTGCAACATTTGGTATTGTGGGTAGGAAGTTTCAGATAAGCCAAAAGCATGTAAAACCCCCAAAATATAATTGGAGCACACTTTACACCATGTCAGAAAACCTAGCCATTTGGTTATTTCTCGCACTCTGCCCAGAACCTTATAGATGTTAGTATTACTGAATGACTCTTCTTTTCGTTGTTTTTTTCAGTAGAACGTGTGCTGCCATCACGATGCCTGAAGTCAACACAGATCACCTGGATGAGCAGCAGGTGCAGCTGTTGGCAGAGATGTGCATCCTTATCGATGAAAATGATAATAGGATTGGAGCAGATACCAAAAAAAACTGTCACTTGAATGAAAACATTGATAAAGGTACGGCTTACTTACCTTCTAACTGAACTATTAAGTTGATTGAATATTTTCAGAAATATAGTCATGATTAAATTAAAGCCTTGATCTCAGGAGGGTGTTGATCAAACCAGAGCAAGTACTTCCCCACACACCCTTCCTCCCCCAGCTTACAATAGCTAATTGTAAAAATCCTGCAGTATGGGGGCGCACACAGTTGGAGGCAGTAGCAAAGTAGAGAAATGCGTGATTGCAGATGTGAGCTGTATGTCTTGATAAATATTTTTGAATCACATTTTGATGATAAAATAGTATTATTTTCCTATCATAGATACCTGATTCTATGTAGCTTTTTCTAAAGAATGCCACTTGCTTCCATGCTGAGTTCTTTTCAAGCAGAAGAGACTTTGATTTTTAAGTAGTTCACGTAGACTTCTACTTCAAATACTGCTAATAGGAAAGGGTTTTTTTAATTGTTGTCATTCTAATTGATTGGGGTTTTTATTTGAGGTTGGTCAGATTCGTGAATCCCTCACAGTAGTTTGTGACCGCCTTTTCCATACTCAGGGGAAGCATCTTCCTGAAGAGTGAGGAATTACAAACGCAAAAATTGCAGAAAGCAGCAATTGTACTGTTTTTGAGGAAGTTTGTACTTTTGCAATTCCTGAAGCTTCTTGAAATTCCATACAGTTTTTTAGGAATTTTTGAGTCATCTCTTTTTGATAGTAAATTTATGGATGCTGAGCCCTCCTTAGGAGCTTGCCCAAATGTGCATCTTCAGAAGGGTGAACTGCCCGAGTTTAGTAGAACTCTTCTGTTGCATTGTTGTTCTTAGCACTTTCCTAATTTCATAAAGTTTTGCATAAGCTGACATAGAAACCTAAATAACAACTCTGAGATTTTTATCAAATCCTTAGTTTTTAGCATATATGAATTTTAAATTAGATTACCCAAAAATGAAGCACTTCTAAGCCCTTAAACTGTCTTCATATGTTTTTTTTTCCTCCTCTGTTAAATAGCTCACTCTGGTTTTTTTATTTTTAGGTTTACTGCACCGAGCTTTCAGTGTTTTCTTATTTAATACAGAAAATAAGCTGTTGCTGCAGCAGAGGTCAAATGCAAAAATTACATTTCCAGGTTAGTACTGAAACACATTGTATTTATCAAAATGTTTTATTTAAAAAAAAAAAAAAGCCAGTCTAATCTTGCAGTGTAACTCATTCTGAGGTTTTAGAATTTACTATTTTGGAGAGGAGATACTTCTAAATACTTTTAAAAATTCAAGATGTACTTATCTTGTGGATGAAGTAACATAATGGGAACACTAGCTTATTGTTATACCTACTCTTGGGAAGCGATTGTTCCCTGACATGTTTGATCTTGTTTATGCAAGTGCAGAGCACGTGTTGTTTACCTTCTCTGCTGCAAGACATTTAATGGAGTTGAAGAAATTGGTCTGGTAGCTGTGGAGAGTGTCCTGATTCCGCTGGTAAAGACACGTAGTTGATGTATAGCGGAGCCCTACTGCTTGGGAAGCAGTTGCGTTGTGCTTCAGTGGGATATGTGGACCTTTATCTGTGTATGTGTTGACAAACGCTTTTTTAACTACAGAAGAGGTGAGACTGTGTGGCCAAAGTATATAGTGCACGATTCCTGAAGACTCCTGAACTATTACTGTATCAAATACAAATGGAGACGCACAAAAATGAGAAGTGGAATGAAAGAAAAATAGCTTACACGAGACATGTTGGAGGAAGCATAAAGCTGTCTGTTTCAGGGTTTCAGATGGAAAACAAATTCAAGTGTTTCTAGCCCTCTTCAACTCAAGGAAGAAAGACCTTTTTTTCCTTCCAAGAGAATCTTCACTTAGAGACTTTTTTTTTCCTTGACTACTAACTAATCCAAATGCTTGAGTGTAGTTTGTAGGTAATCAGATGCTATTTTAGATGCTTTTAAGCTAGACTCTTACAGATAAAAGGTTGGCCAATCACAGTTATTCTACATAACTCATAAGAAATTTTTAATATACTTGAAGCAGAGCGTAGAGGATCTGTCCTTTAAACACAAACCTTAGCTGCTTATTTACTTCTACTAATTGTCAGCTGGTCGTGAAGCTCTGGGAATATTTTCAATATTCTGTTGCATATAAACTCCCCAAAGTAATTTTAATTAGCGTCTGCAGGATAAACAATGTCTTTATAAACTGGCTGTCTAAGTAGATGCTGTCTTGGGTGTGAGAATGCCTGTGTTCATCTGTATCAAACACTAATCTGCAAAGTAGCACTTGGTAGAGGCAAATCCTGGTGCAAAATATGTAAAGAAAAATAAGAGGTGAAAACGTCCTCCTTCCTCTCTGACCCTTCTCTACAAAAGAGAAACAAAGCTGTGACGCATTGAATAACTGTCCTGCATCTCTGGGTTTTTTTTGGGGGGTGGGGAGGGTTTTTGCAATGCTTTATACATGTCAAAAACGCACTGATACAAACTTCTTGCAGATTGTTTTACCAACACTTGTTGCAGTCATCCTCTGAGCCATCCACTAGAACTGGAAGAAAATAATGCCATTGGCGTTCGGAGAGCAGCACAGAGACGACTGAAAGCAGAGTTAGGAATTCCCATGGAGCAGGTAAAGGAAGGAAGGAGAAACAGGAATTCTTGGCAATGTTTGCCAACTTACAGACTAACTGCATCTGGCAGACAGGGTCAGCCTGAAACCTGAAAGCGAATTTAACTTCGGAGATGTAGAGAACTTGGTGAATTGGACACTTCTTCATCTCTATTCCAGAGCCTCAAAAGTTGGTATCACTAAATGGTACTGCCACTGCTTAAACTAAATATGAGCCAAAGAGTAGATGGCACAGCAACGAAGAATTGCGTTCCTTCAGCTCTGACTGCGGGTGCCGAGGTGTTTTCCAGCTGGGCAGGCTGTCCTCCCTGCCCAGGAGAAGGGGATGTGCCGCCCTTCCTCCAGGCCGACGGCAGAGCGCTGTACGCGTCCTGTACGACTGGCGCTCCTGGAGGGCACCTCTGAGCTGCTGCCAGCATCCATGTGCAAGTCCCTCTGCAATCCCAAGTTTCCTATGGGATGTAGGGTGTCCCGGGCACTCGGTGCTTCTTCCAGAGCAATCCCACAGCCCGCTCCTGGTACCGTCCTTTCTGCTGGCAGTTTGGGAGTGCGCGGAGAGCAGGGTGAAGCTGGCTGCGTTATGCTCCTGGTCGAAATCTCTTTGCACGTTTTGTAACTAATGACGTTTGTGTCATGGGACACGGGAGAAGCGGTGCGCTACTGGGAAACTCGAGGGTTAGGTTGGCCCCAGAGTTAATTACCTGGTCTGCAGCTTGCACGGATCCCCGGTAGATGGGGGTTCTGCGAGGTCTGTCAGCACGCAGTTCTGCCCTCGGCTTTCAGGAGCTGTCAAGTCTTTTCCTTGGGAGGTAAGGGGTAGGTGCAAGTGTTTGTGCTCATCAGCGCCTCGGTAAGTGTGCATTAAGGTCTGGTAAACATTACTTAAAACTTTCTGTGTAGAAGAACTCGAAATACTACAGGGCAACTCTGACTAGAGAAATGCTGTGCGATTTATGTCATCAAAGTGCAATAAATTTTTTTTCTCCTTAGTAATTCTTTGTGAAGAAGTAGTATTTTGCAATTGTACACTTGGGGGAAAAATAATTTTTAAGGGAGAGGGTAATAGCCGATAATCCTTTTGTAAAGCCTAGCAGTGCAATTAATCTGGCTTGACGCCGCTTCTGACAAGTGTTTTGGTTGTAGGTAACTCCAGAAGAAATCTCCTATCTGACACGAATTCACTACAAGGCCAAGTCTGATGGGATCTGGGGTGAACACGAGATAGACTACATCTTATTTGTACAGAAGGACGTAGCGCTGAATCCCGACCCTAACGAGATCCAAAGCTACTGCTACGTCACGCAGAAAGAACTGAAACAGCTCTTGGACAAAGCCTCCAAGAATGAAGTTAAGATTACTCCGTGGTTTAAACTAATTGCAGAGACCTTCCTTTTTAAGTGGTGGGATAACTTGTCTAACTTGAACAAATTTGTTGATCATGAGAAAATCCACAGAATGTAAATAGCTGGGGTGAAAGATGCTGAAGGCTAGCAATGATGTGCTGCCTCGTTAACGCTACGGTAACGCGTGACTCGAGTGCAGAGAAGTGACCCACCTGCAGCATGTGCAACAAACAGCTTTATTCAGAGATGGTTATAGCTGATGTTTTTCCTTCTCTCTTCACCTCCTCTTCCCCCCAGCCCTGTTCCTCTTGGATCTCCTGTAAGATGGGTAGCGGTAGGAAACCCCTGGGCTCATCCTCCTCCGTGACCTCGTGTGATGTGAAAGACCCTCAGCCTGTCTGTGCGCCGAGGCTCACACGCTGAGCGATTACAGCAGAGTTTGAGTTCTGCATTGTCGTTAAGACTAGTTGCCTGAGGAAAAAAAAACAATTAGTTCTGAGTAATCAGGATTATTTTAATTGCAGAAAGTAAATCTCTTCAGCTACTGTACTGTAACCAAACACATAAAAGCTTCAGTAACTGAACTGTCAGTGTGGACTGTTTCACTTGGAAGTGCCGCACGATGTGTCATAGCTCGAGATAACAGAAGTGGGGGGGTTGGTTGGGTTTTTCCCCACCAGCCTTTTTTGGTTGGTTGATGACCGAGTACTGGGCATCCCTTGGGAGGGAAAAAAAAGGGCGAATTATACCAGATGTAAATGGTACCTACCTAATGGGGGAAGTAGCCTGTCTCCGGAGAAGGGATATCCATTAAATGACTCTTCGCCATCTTCCAGAGAAGAAAGGCATCTTGAGACAAGCGTTTTTCTCTGCACCATCTGCTGTAATGGCCATTCCTGGACAACTCAAACCCCTCGAACTCCAAAATTCAAGTTTGACCATTTATGGGCTTACACCAGGTCTTAATTTCAGTTAATCAGAAACTGTACCACAGTGTAAGAGCCAAACCTTTTTGATCTTGCAGTCAATTGCTAGTAACAAGAGTTAAAGGGAAGGCTTTTAGGCTTTTTTTAATAAGGGTAATAATCAAAGGTATCTCAGTTTGAATTAAAGGTTTTGGGGTTTGGTTGGTTGGGTTTTTTTCCCCAAAAAAGCTTAATTGTGGTTTCTTCTGTTAGCAGACTACTCAATCTAGGTTTCTTAAGTTAACTTCTCCCAGAGGTGTCTTGATGAAATAGGAGGTTGTTCATGCCTTCTCCGTGCATGTAAAACACAGTTGTAACTAGTCTGTGCCTGGTTTCCAGGTGAAACTAAATTTTTCCGGTGGTTACCGTGTTTGTCTCTCGTTGCAATTGTGAGGGCAGCATGGAAGCTCCTCTGTGCCGGCATCGCCGGGGGTTCAGCGCTTGGGGGTTTTAGAGCCCGGTTTGTCGTGCGCTGAGCTGACCCGATGTAGTGTCGTGGAGCAAACGATAGCGGGTGAGGACACACCAACGCGATGTAACAGCTCTCCCGAATCCAGTGCCGTCAGCCACGTTACCCGAGTAATACACTAGAGTACTTTTCAAATAATTAAAATACTTTTAAAATAAAAGATTATCTGATCAATAAGGTTATGATTAAAATACCCAACTTGAAACCTTGGACTGTTGTTTTCTTTCTAGACTTTGAGCCACATGGAGAACAGTCTCTGTGTTAAGCATCGCTGGAGCAGCACGACTGGGGGCGGCGGGGCAGAAATCTGTTCTAACAAAGCTCTACTGCTCTAGTTCAAATGGCCAGCGTGGCGCAAAAGCTGGCAAAGCACATCCTGAGGGAGAAATAAGGGGCATAAGGAAGCTGGAAGCAAAGTTTTGCTGAGTAGTTCTTCCAAATCCCTTAAAAGTTTTGACGTTAACGTTTTTCTTGACATTGAACTCCTCTGCAGCATTACAATGTTTTTAATACCAGATTTATTACACAAAGTAGGTGAGGGAAACAATATGGATTTACACATAATGCTCCAATATGCTAAAGCTGACATCTGAACCCTCTTCTTACCCTGTTGTATTTAAAAATAGTTTAAAAAAATAATGATGTAAGGATTCTGCCCCCTTCCCTTTATGGAGTTTTGTTTGTTTGACGTGCATTTCATTGGATTCCAGTTTAATCTTTAAAATTGTGCATTTAAGTGTATTGTTCAGGCAACACATTTATAATGCGTAGTTTTACTAATCTCTAGATAATTCCTACCTTATTCTTGACCAACTAGGGACAAAAAGGGAATATTTCGCATTTGACAATATATTTTGCCTTGAACAGATACAGAATTTTTGTCTATCAGCCTCTGAAGAGAAAATGTCTTCCTAAGCAGAGGATGGCAGTAGCGACTCAGGACAAAACTTCAGTCTGATCCTCGTTCCCTACATATCTGAAATATTAATCGGAAATAGTAGAAGTTGTAAGTTGTACCCTTGCCTGCCCATGCAGTTTTCGGTCGCTGCAGATGGGAGGTCAGTACCCGAACTGTGATTATTCCCCCAGCCTCCGTCACCGCTCAGCTTAGCAAGCCGCCGGTCTTTCTGCCGCTCATTCAAAGCTGGTTCAGCGCATGCAGGGCTTGTCAGTCTCCCACTGCTCCCCCACCCATTTCACAGAATCACAGAATCGTTAAGGTTGGAAAAGACCCTTAAGATCATCGAGTCCAACCGTTAACCCAGCACTGCCAAGCCCACCACTAAACCATGTCCCTAAGCACCACATCTACCCTTCTTTTAAATACCTCCAGGGATGGGGACTCAACCACTTCCCTGGGCAGCCTGTGCCAGTGCTTGACCGCCCTTTCAGTGAAGAAGTTTTTCCTAATATCCAACCTAAACCTCCCCTGGTGCAGCTTGAGGCCGTTTCCTCTCGACCTATCGCTGGTTACTTGGGAGAAGAGACCGACCCCCACCTCGCTACAACCTCCTTTCAGGTAGTTGTAGAGAGCAATAAGGTCTCCCCTCAGCCTCCTCCAGGCTAAACAACCCCAATTTCAGCCCTCACCCGCGCCATAACCTCATCGCATGCTACGCATCACGGAACTTGCACGCAGAAAACTGAACCTTACAGACGCAGTACCTGGTGAAGCTCTGCATTTGTCATTCTGAGGGTAGCTTCATTTACAACTACATCACATTTCTAGATTGAACCTCATTTAAAAGGGACACCACCCACTGCCCGGGGCAGCCTGTGCCAGTGCTTGACCGCCCTTTCAGTGAAGAAGTTTTTCCTAATATCCAACCTAAACCTCCCCTGGTGCAGCTTGAGGCCGTTTCCTCTCGACCTATCGCTGGTTACTTGGGAGAAGAGACCGACCCCCACCTCGCTACAACCTCCTGTCAGGTAGTTGTAGAGAGCAATAAGGTCTCCCCTCAGCCTCCTCCAGGCTAAACAACCCCAATTTCAGCCCTCACCCGCGCCATAACCTCATCGCATGCTACGCATCACGGAACTTGCACGCAGAAAACTGAACCTTACAGACGCAGTACCTGGTGAAGCTCTGCATTTGTCATTCTGAGGGTAGCTTCATTTACAACTACATCACATTTCTAGATTGAACCTCATTTAAAATCGTTTTACATAGAACTTTAAATGCTTTACTGCTACATGAAAGTCAGTAGTAAGAAAATGGAATGAAGGGGTATTTTTAATGCCTATTTAGAAATGGTTTCTGCCAGTGGTACCGACGAATCTCTCGTGGTATTACTTGGAACTGCAGCACCAAGGTATCGGAACCTTCCCTCTCTGAGCTTCAAGTACCTTAACCACTAACACAAACCATGTACTTTTTAAACGCTCTACATGACTAAAAAGGAAAACAGGACTAGAAATTAGTTTCAATAAACTTAGTTTTAATTGGTTTTAATTCAGAAGACTGCTTATCTTCTCTGTGTTTTACCAGATTTTCTCTTTCCAGCCAGCAGATGTTTTGGCTTCAAATCAAATATGTGTCTGTCCGACTCTCCTTTCCTGCCCAGGCGATTCATTTTCTTTTGAGCTTTCTTCGCCATAGTCTTGACCTTCTTCACCATCTATTTAAAAACACACAAACAAACAAAGATGCAGAGTAACTTCCGCAGTAACTCGGGTAACTAGCTTTACCTTTTAAAAAACCGCTAAGGCAGATGAGTTTAAGAAGGACATAACTAAGACCCAGCACAGGCCGCCATCCGCAACTCTGGAACAGCACTGCTGCGGGCGACACTAATCCTCCTCAGCAAAACTCTTCATTTCCCAGTACACTAACAATACGATCGCGCTATCCCTGGAATTCCTAACTCCCTAAAGGTGGAACTCCACCGTTTGTAGAACTCGTCCTTCACACTTGCATTTAGAGACAAAAATCTACAATGTACTTTCTTAGTCTGTATTATTACAACTCCTTTTTGAGAAGGAACGAACGAACTAGGCCCTTCTGCAGTACAGAGTGTTCAAGGGAAGAGAAGATGAAGCTGCACAGAGAAGGAAGGTGAACTCTCGACAAACATAACCGGCCTACTGTGGAGTTTCCCAGAAGCTGGGTTAAGTGCCATCACGCTGTTTTAATTGCTATAAAGGTAAATAACTTCAACAAACCTTTTCATCCCGGAGACCAGAAACATCCCGTGGTGTGCGAGAGGAGCTGCGACTGCGCGCCACAGATTTAGGGGTTTCAGACTCATCACGTTTACGTTTCCTCGTGGCGCTACGGGACCTTCTCACATAATGTGCCTGAAATTCAAAACATCGCTTTAATTATTAAAACCACAAACAATCAGCTCAGACACGCTCCATTTCTAATTAGACGCATGTGAGAAAGCAGGAAGCGGACTGCTGTGATGCGTTCTATTGGTCATTCCATAGTAACATAAAGGCCTTGGTCACTGCCTTTCTGTCCTACAGCAAGTTCAAATTTTGGTGAATATTAGCATGTTCTTTTCACAATTATTAACTCCAGCTTTCTGGTTTTTTTTTCTGAGTAGATTCATAAGTAATGGATAAAAAGACACAGACAAATTAATGGAAAGCAACGCTGAAGCAATGTGCAACAGCAAAAAGCAATGACGAAACCTACCCTGATTAATGTCAGGACAAAGCCCTGAAGAATTTCAGACATGAAGACTTCTCCTCCTACAGCCTAAGTATGAAATTCCTCCTCACTGAGATCGCTCCCAGATCAACATGGCAGGTCAGCTCTGAGGAGCACAAATGCTTGCTCCAGAGGTGAAG